CAGGGAGCGCCCCGCCGTCCCGCCGGCCCTTCCCGGATGCGCACTTTCCCCTTAGCCCTGCTATCCTGCCGGCCCTTCCTCAGAACCCCGCCGTCCGCTTCCCCGGAGGTGCCCTTTGTTGTAGGCCAGCCAAGTTTTTCAATGGTGATGAGAGGAGCAAGAGGATGACATGTGGGTTCCTCTTGTCATTCTCTACTGTGATAGATTTTGGGGTCTATTTTAGGTAGTGCTGCTAGAGAAAACAAAAAAAATAGTATCAAAATAGATGGCTACTCAAATAGAAAAGTAGGGACTCTATTTTAAGCAGTAGTGGTGGAGGTCCTAGGTTCCCAGACTGTGTCACACAATGAAACTAACTACACAGCAGGTCTTAATCGTGCTCACACCATGGCTGGAATTTTTCTGCCTTTTTTTGCTTTTTTCCCTAGAAATTTGAGAATGGCGCTCTCGCTCTAAACATTTGCCTATTTCAGAAATTCCGCGCTTATGAGTTATGACTTGCGGTTGGTGGCGAGCTCACCATTTTCTGGCCGTTGTGCCTTTTTCACACACGCAGCCCTAGCTGTCTTTTTGTCATAGGAAGTGGCCGAAATGCCCCCCGCCGGGTCCGAATTAAATATGTTATCTGGCAGGTGAAAACCGTCCTCGAGGCAGTCGACAGCGACCAACTCATTTCGGCCGTCGCCCTCGAGACGACAGCGACGCGACTGCAGCCAGACCTCCGCCGCCGGGGATCCCTCTCCTTGCTGGCGCCGTGGAACACGCCTCCGCCTCGTCAGGCCCAACCGCGCGGCGTCAAATTCGTCGTCGTCCCTCTCGCCATCTCCTTGCTCCAGCGGTCCAGCCGTTCGCGTGGAGTCGAGAACAAGCCGAACTTGGACGCTCCGCTTTTCTGGTAAGCAAGAGCCCTAAGCCCCTAACCCTCCTAGATCGCTCGCGTTCTCGCCTCGTACACGACGTCCTGGATTGCACGCGGCTATTCTTCATTTCTTCCTCGGGCAAGTCTGGGTCCATGGATTTGTTTGCGGCGCTGAGAATTTTCGTTTCTAGTTCGATATGATGCGCCCGATCGAGATCGGCCTCCGATCCGGTTGAGCCTAGCTAGCTAGATTTGATTTTTATATAGCTCGAGATCGATATGTGACCAACTCATTTCGGCCGTCGTCCTCGAGATGACATCGACTCCAGCTAGACGCCTAGACATCCGCCGCCGGCGATCCCTCTACTTGCCGGCGCTGCCGTGGAACGCGACGCCTCGTCCATCCCAACCTCGCGCGGCGTCGGTTTCGTCGTCGTCCCTCTCGCTAACACCGATCCTTGCCCCAGCCGCTCGCGTGGAGTGGAGACTGGTCACTAGAGAGTGGACAGTGGAGTCGAGAGCAAGCCGATCGAACTTTGACACGCACCGCTTTGCTGGTGAGCAAAAGAGACCTAGCCCGCTTAGATTGCTCGCGATCTGGCCTCGTAAACGACGCCTGACCTTTGCACGCGCTATCCCTCCGGCAAGTCTGTCCGTGTGGATTTATTTGTTTGCCGCGCTAGGAATTTTCGTTTCTCGTTCGACATGATTCATCACCCGAGATCGATCGGCCTCCGATCCGGTTTAGCCTAGCTAGCTAGACGTGAATTCTTGGGGTTTAACACTCCGGGCAGAGACGCTCGTCGTCATCCGCACAACTGATTGAAGCATGTGTATCTGTGTGTATGAGGATCATGGATCTGATCCTGTTCCTGTTCTCGTACTACCTTTGTTTCGGAGATGGCGGATGGCTTTTTACAGCTGTTACCCTTGCATGCTTCCTATAGAGGCTATCCCAGTACGCCAGAGTACGTGCATCCCACTATGGCAGATAGCCAGGGGCGGAGCCAGGGACATGTGGGAGGGGGCCTCATCTTCGGCCTCGGATCCGGTTGAGCCTAGCTAGCTAAACGTGAATTCTTGGGGTTTAACACTCCTGGCAGCGATGCTCTGGTCGTGATCCGTACAACTGACTGAAGCATGATCTAACTTGTGTATATATCCATGTGCATGAGGATCATGGATCTGATCCGGTCCCTGCTCTCATACTAACCCAGCATGATCTAAATTGTTTCAGAGATGGTGGATGGATTTTTATAGCTGTTACCCCAGCATTCCCCCTATAGACCATGCATTCCTGTAGGGCAGATAAGTGCATCCCAGTACGGCTGATAGGTGTTCCGACCGTTGGATTTGGACGGCGTAGATCACCCGTAGTATATCTAAGGATTGATGCAAGGATAGTCTCCACGGGCGAAGTTCGTTGGTCATTTATTTGTTTACCTTTGGAGGTCGGATTTTTAATAGGAAAATGATTGATTCCTTCGCTTGTCATATCTGTACCCTTTGCTGGATGTTGTCTCTTGGGTGTTTAATGTTTTTTTGTCGGATGTTGTCTTTTAGGTGTTTAATGTTTTTGGGATTCTATAGCTTTGTTTAATTGATAGGTGTCGCCCGATTGTCGTAATGGTAGTTGGTAGTTGATATTGTATGGTTTCTATCTTTGAGTTTTTAGTTGACCTTCCATACTATTCTAGAAGTGAGGGTGTTCAAGTAGTTTTACACCGTAGACACAAAATGCTATATATTCGATGTTTCATTTTTTTTGTGAGGGTTGGGTGTGGGCTATATATATCCACTGTTTCATTTGACGACATCAAGTACAAAAGTAGATGTTTTGCATTGCGTTTTGTTTATGTGAAAGCATATATTTAGACTCTACTTTAAAGTGCTTGTCTAATATTACAGAGGAAAAGGTTTACAATTCTCTTTTGGTTGAAATACATACTAATCACTATTTCGAGATTTGTTCTTCCAATAAGTTAGATTTGGGAAATTGAATTCATGTTTTCCATAATCAAGCAATTTTCTTATTGTTCCTGTTGTCAATTTGAGGTTTCTATTTATCTTTCTTGTAGATAGAATTCTTTGTTTTCTTGTATTATTCTTTGTTCTTTGCTCATTGAATTGAAGTTGAGAAGATGTGTTCTCTCTTCACTGTTACCTCCTTTCTTTCCTTTTGACTTGCAAAGCAATGGTTGGATCCTTCTTTCTATTTTGTGCATCTTTCTCCACTCTTTCCTATCGTATAACTCTTAAAACTTTTCTACTTTGACTTGTTTGAAATTGTCTTGTTTTTTGTGATATATGTACTTTTTTTGTATTTCTCCTTCATCTAAAGATAGTTCTCTATTTACTCTAATAGTTTTCAGCTTTCTAATAAATCTTATATTGTTTCTTACTGAAGGTCCACATATTGCTGTCTACTGTTTGAAGGTACACTTCAATCCTATTTATTTTTTGTTTTCTACATTACTTCTTCATTGTCTTTGTCTACTTGTGTCAGCTTATGCGACTTTTTGAATGATATATAGATCCACTATTTCATTCGATGCCATCATGTATTAAGGGTATATTATTGTCCATTGTATTTGGTTACTGTGAAAGTGTACAAACACTGCTTTAAATTGTTTGTCCAATATGTAGAGGAAAAATTATTTGCAATTTTCTTGTGGTAGAAGCACATACTAATCACCATGCATGCATGGTGAATTGTTCTGCCAAGTTTTGGAAAATATGAAACTCACGTTTTCTATAAGCAACTTTCTCATAAAGTCATAGTGAAGCAAAATAATACATATGTATTGGAGGAGGTGGTGGTTAGCCTTTGTTAGGCTGTCTCCAACAGGAGACCCATTGCGGAACCCAAATCCGAAATGGGTCTCCAACATAATACCTATAGCCTCCAACATAGTACTTATATGGAAGACCCATTTTAGGTGCCAGGAGAGGTATAACCCAAATCTGAGTATCCTCTCTCCTGGAGACCAATTTACATAAAGGGTTGTCTTTTGGGTCTTGTTGTTGGAGAAGACCAAAAATAGGTATTGAACCCTTTGCCTGTAGCGCTACCCAAAGGACGAATGTGTCTTGTATTTTGGGTCGCGGTTGTTGGAGATAGTCTTAGTTGTCACCTCAACGTGGTTCCTATAAACCGTCACAAAATGGCAGCTTGGTGTTCTGGTTGTTGAATTCGAACGTCATAGATTTATCATAGTTGATCTACTTGTTTGGAGCTTGGTCCTCATGTGAGGGTGGTCTCCAGCGAATATTTTCGATCATTTATTTGTTTAGCTCTTGGGTTGGCGGTGTTGAAGATGTTTTTAAATATGGAAACAATTGATTCTTTTGCATGCATATCTACTCTTGATGTTAAATGTTCTTTGAGTTTCTATAGCTCTGTAACTCTGTTCAATCAATAGTAGCTAGTGATTATCTAGTAATGGTAGTTGGTTGCCGGCACTATATAGTTTCTATCTTCTAGTTCCTAATTGAGCTTCCATACTATTTTTAGAATGTGTGGTCATGAGGGTGCTCAAGTACTTCTGTGTAATAGACATCGATAGTGAACATGTGTCGTAGAAGAAAGATACCAAATATGGTATATTTGAATCAAGAATAATAATTGTCTTGTTTGCTCAGCTTGCATATATACCCACTGTTCTTTTTTAGGTTTATCTATCCACTATTTCGTTCGATGCCATCAAGTACTCAAGCAGATGTCTGTTGCGTTTGTTTTTGTGTGAAAACCTAGAAATAATATTTTAAAGTGTTTGTCTAACATTGTAGAGGAAAAATTGTTTACAAATTTCTTTTGGTTGAAGTGCATACAGTAACTATGTTTTTTTTTTGTTATGCCAAGTTTTGAGAAATCTTGAACTCACGATATCTGTCATCAAGCAACTTTCTCATAGTTACAAGTATATGATAGTGTTGCATGACAATACATATGAGCTGATGTACATGCCTGCATAGCTATTGATATCGATGGTGAACATGTGCTGTAGAAGAAAGATCTCATTTTTTTAACTTAATACAAAGTTACCCTTGCTTTCCATATTTGAGGTTTACACTGATTTCACTCTTTTTTCTCTTTGGACATCAGCTTCTTACTTGGCTTTGATACAAGAAGTAGCATAACATGGGAGGACAGCCTGAGGGCATGCATCTGGTTTTGGAAAGGACTGAAGGATGTATTTCATCACAAGCTGTGCAAAGTAGGGGCATCGAAAAGGCCACGCCAGAAGAACTATGTGTTACTTTATCTGATAAAAAGGGGTGTTTTGCTTGCAATAAGAGGTCACACAACTTGGATCAGTGCAAGATAAAGTACAAACTTGTTTCTGCAGCACATCAATTTGGTTATGCTACAAAATTCCCGTTTACCATTATTCAGCCTTCAGATGAGATTGTTGAAAAGAAGAAATTTTACCATCACTATGTTCTCATAAAATCTAATGTCACTAACTTGGACAAGGGTATATTGAAAGATGAACTCAATATGTTTTGGAAGCTTTCTGGCGATTGGGAGTTAAGGAGAGAATGCAATATGACTTTCATGGCCACCTTCAGCTCGGAGGATGACTTAATAAGTTGTTTAAAGAACACTAAGATTGAAACATTACTGCATAATAAGGAGGTGCAATTGACTGTAACAAGGTGGAAGGAAAGCGACGATGGAAGTCTTGACTTGGTTGAAGAGTGGCTTTTAGTGTGTGGGATCCCAAGAATATATAGAAACTGGAAGGAGTTATATCAGGTTGCTTCTGCATTTGGAGTGTTGATGGATGTGGATGAGGAAAGTTTGGAAGTTGGAGATAAGGAGCCTATTAGGCTGAAGACAGCATTCAAAAGTTTTGATGGTGCTCCCTTCTCTTACTACTTTGCATTTGGATGGTCTTCAAAACTAGTAATGGTCACAGCAGTACAAGACAAAACAGAAGGTATGAAACATAAAAATAAGGAGTTAGACAAGGAGCATAAAAAGGAACTGCATGCAACAAAAAGTATATTGCTGGAAGAGTCGAAGGGCATTGAAGAGTCAAGATCAAATGGAAAGGCCAAAGAAAACAAAATAAGTGCTCCAGCAGCCACAATAACAAACTCTGAGGTAACAATAACAGAGAGTCCAAAACCCATAGCCCCAAGTCCACTAAGCATGATTGGAGAAGAGCACTTTAGAGGTGAATAAGCATGATGGTTTTATTTGTAGGTTTTATTCCTAATAAAAAATATATAAAAAATGTAGGAGAATGTGTTCGGTGTTATAGGACTAGCAATTTGGTCAATTTTTGTTTGGTTTTCTGACATCATTTTTGTTGACACTTTCCTAAATGTATACAAAAGCCGAAGGGCATTGAAGAGTCAAGATCAAATGGAAAGGCTAAAGAAAACAAAATAAGTGCTCTAGCAGCCACAATAACAAACTCTGAGAAAACAGCAACAGAAAGTATAGTGCTGGAAGAGCCGAAGGGCATTGAAGGGTCAAGATCAAATGGAAAGGCTAAAGAAAACAAAATAAGTCTCCAGCAGCCACAATAACAAACTTTGAGAAAATAGCAACAAAAAGTTCAAAACCTGAAGGGGTGTAATCCATTGGCCCAAGTCCACGAAGCATGATTGGAGAAGAGCACTTCAGAGGTGAAAAAGCACGATAGTCTGATTTTTAGATTTTATTCCTAATATAAACACCTGTAGAAGAATGTGTTCGGTGTTATAGGACTATTTGGTCTTTTTTTTTTTTGCTTTCTGACATCATTTTGTTGACACTTTCCTGATGTATACAAAAGCCTCCTATCAAACATGTATTCAAAAGGAGAGGTAAGAAGCAGCAAGTTACTGCAGCAATATAAACAAAGAGCCCATCAAATAAAATGGATAAAGAAGTGGCTCCATATAGCAGCAGTAATGCCACAAGGACTGGAGCCTCAACTGGATGTGATATGGTAGATCAAAAAGATTGTTCAAAAATGGAACCCAATAGGGAACTGATTATGGAAGAAATAACTCCAGTAGGGGAAAGTAAAAAGGCCGAAAAGCTTGGAGCATGCAGAGATACTGAGTGCAATAATGTAGCTGCCCCTACAATCAACTCGAAGAAGACACAAATATTAGGAAACACATCAAGAACTCCGAGAGATGAGTTGATCACTAAACATACCAAAGGTGAGTGAGAATCCCTTATCCATCTAATTTTGTAATGAAATGTTCATTACTTTCTTTAAATAATTTATGTGAGTTTAATGTAGAAGGAAAATGCGTCAATGGATTTGGCAATATTGTTACTTGGTCATCTAATTGATCGCAATTGGTTAGGCTAATCGGTCCCTAACCTGACTAGGCACTATAGGCATGTATGGATCCTTGCATTATCGGTAAGCCGCTAATAGTTAGTAGCTACAATTAGCCGGTGAGGATCCGAACAGGCCTGCTAATTAATAGACCTGCCACTTATTAGCCGGTGAACCTAATAAAAGTTAGTTCATTAGTTGATGGAGGGGTGCTAGTAGGTGCTAATAGTTCATATGCATATCCAATCAACTATCCAACTACCTAGCAGGTAGATCCAAACAACCCTTGCTAATAATTAGGTAGCTAATAGTTATTTTAGATTAGGGAATAACAACATTATGGCCTCCCGCATTCACATATGAAAGAGTACAGCCAATCGAAACAATCACACACAAAGAAAGAATGAAAGATACAACTCTAGACAATCACTCAAGCCTCAATTCTAAACCCTATAAGTTATTAGCAGCTATTAGCTGCTATGTTTTTTTTGGAAGCACTGATTTCCCTATGATGGATTTTAGATGAGTAACCAGAGGGCATTGATCTCATCCCTTTAGTGCAATGCTTTGATGATGTTTCTTAGGAAATTTGGTAAACAGTCCCATTTCTTACTTTTTTTGTTATAATATAACTGTTATTAGATATCTTTGTTGATAATTGTTTTTTGTCCCATTTCTTACATTTGCATCCAAAATAGACACACAGTATGGCGGGATCTACCACTTTATTGTTTGTCTATTTGCTTCAGCTTATTTGTTTACTCATTAGCCATGACATTCATATTCATATTCACATTAGCTGTCATATAAGAAATATATTTAACTTTCCTATATACATGGTGTGATATAGGCTACTTTCAAGTTCCGAGGAAGTTGTTATCTATGAAAGTTTCAGTGAGATGGGTCTTCAGGAGAATCTACTCAAGGGAATATATAAATATGGTAATTATTCCTATACCAGCATTATTTGTGCATTTATTTCTGGGCTGGAAACATTATTTGTGCATTTTTTTAAGGTCTGGGGAAGCCTTCGGTGGTCCATCAAAGAGGAATTGTGCCGTTATGCAAGGGCTTTGGTGTGGTCCATCGATCTTTGTCTGGAACAACTGAGACAATTTGCACCGGTGTACTGCAGCGACTTGATTATGGATCTGCAGAATGCCAGGCTTTGATCCTTGTACCAACACCCGACTTAGCACAAGAGACTGAAAATTATTAGAGCACTTGGTCAATTCCTTGGTGTCACAGCTCAAACTTGTACAGGAGGAACAAGTGCCCATGCAGAGCAGCAAACTATGTCAAGGAGAGTTCAGGTTTTAGTTGGCACCCCTGATTGCATTCTTGACGTGCTGCAAAGGCATGCATTGTCTCCAGACCACATTAGAATGCTTTTTTTGGATGAAGCAGATGAACTACTCACAGGAGGTTCCAAGGATCAGGTTAGTTTTATTACCTACCAGCTCTATTGTGGTAATCATAATGTATGACTAGCTAGTAGTATCATAGAATGCATGAGCCAAATATAAGCTATCTTGCTATGCTCATATGCTACAATCTGATGGCCCTGCCCATACTTGATTAACTTATGACTGGCCATCTTTCTTGCAGATCTATAATATTATCCTGCATCTCCCAAAGAAAATTCAGGTTGGGCTCTTCTCTGCTACCTATTCCAATGAAACTATACGGACTAGCTACAGATTCATGGATAAGCATGTGGCAGTCATTGTCCCAAGAGATGAAGAACTAAAGAATGTCAAGCAGTACTATCTGACAGTTGAGAATGAAGAACTGAAGCTAGGAAAACTGTATGATCTTTGCCAGATCACAGGGGTGGAACAACGACTTATCATCTATGTGAACACAAAGGATAAGGCCGTGTCCCTCGCAAAAGATGTTGGCAAGCATTACACTGTCTCGGCAAGCCATGATGGCATGGATCAGCGTGCCAGGGCCACAGCCATCCAGAAGTTGAAGTCTGGGTCATCCAGTTTTCTCATAACCACTGACCATCGAGGCACCAGTGCAATACCGCAGGTTCCCATTATCATCAACTATGATATTCCAACAGAATCTATGCGATACGTCCGTCGTCTTCAGCAGCAAAACAGACAGTTCAGGCAGCCAATAAGTGTGGTCATTAATTTGGTAACTCCTGCTGCTCGACGCACCCTCGCTGCCATCACGAGATTTTGCAATAGATCCGTGGGGGAGCTACCCTCCGACCTGAAAATCTGAAATGACCTCTTGGTGGGCTATGGACAGGTTTAGCTATGGAATGCAGAAGTAGTACATACAGAACTGGTCCTAAAGGTATCTGCACAAGTTCTTCCTGGCTAGCTGCAAGGAAGCTTTGAAGTTTACCATTAGGTCTCTGTCTGTATGTCACACTATTTCTTGTGACGTTGTCACCAGACTAGTGCTATTTGCACGCCTAGGGAAACTAAGCTAGGCCGCATGTGCGTTTATTTTCTCTTAAGATACTTTGCGCTTGTTGAAATTTGAAGAACCATGCATGGAAACTTCAATTTCCTATCACTGGATGTAATACTGTTCTTTTTACTGGATATGGTCGTTGTGGCGGTTGAATGTTATATGATAACTTATCTTGTTTTTCTCCTTTTTCTGGTCATTGTAGTAATATATTACGTAGTAATTAATTATTAAGTGATGGTACGGCAAGTTAGAAATAATGCAATGTTCCGCTGATGAGCAAAATTATGTACGCTGTACGGATGATACTAGATGTCCCCAGCTGATCAAATAGAGCGATGTAGAAACCAATCCCTGCACCAAATTGCTGGTAAAATATTATCTACGTACCTGTAGTTTTCTGTGAGCACAATTTTACGCTTTGTTTTTCTACTTTGCGATGATATATCTTAAGGCATATTAATGAATCAAATATCAATATATATACATTTTTTCTGGGAACAGTTAGGTAAATAAAAAAATATGTATTAGAGAAATATGTTCCTTGTGCTCCTTTACTCCTTGTCATGCATGTGTGAAGGTGTTATGGTGGGTCAAGTATATCAGTGAAGCAAGCGTAGCCATGGCCAAGTCTAAGTGTCTTGCGGCGTGGGCCTAGGTGAGGCGGTCACCACGGGTTGACTAGCGACATCCTGCTTCTCAGGAAAGGATCAAGATTAGTTTGTTAGATCTTTTAGACTTGAGTTTGTTAGCTGGTTATTAGTATTTGACTATAAGTATTGAAAACTTGGTTAATAAAAAGGATTAGCTGGAAATTAATTACAACCTCTCCCGCTCCTCTGTTACTCGCACACGCGCCCTCTGCCACCCTCGCCGCCAGGCGATTAAGCCTCGGCCACCCACCTCCGTGCCCTACTTCCTACGCAGCAACCCGAGCTCTTTTTTTTTAATCAGGGATTTCATTACTCATTAGACTCGGCCAAATCGCTGGTCAACAAATTCTCGACAAAGCGAGGTACATCCCCCCAAGTGATTTCATCATCACTGGGACATTTACACCCAAATGCCGCTAAAGCATTTGCAACTTTATTACATAATCTAGGACACGCTTGTACTCTGGCCTCTCAAACTCCGACATCAGCAATAGCCGAAGCTCAGTGATAACTCCGCCCAATGTCGAAAGTCTATACTCATCACTCTCTACAGTAGACTTAACTAAAGAAGCATCAGTTTCCAGCACAATTTTACTGATCCCCAACTGTGCAGCAGCTTTGGCTCCGGCCAGACAGCCCAGCAACTCTGCATGAAAAGCGTCAAGTAGGAAATTTGCTTTCCCTGTACCCGCCAATACCATCATGCCTTGATCATCACGGATAATGAATCCCCATCCAACCCATACCAGTGTTAGGATCGAAGGCACCATCCGAGTTGATTTTGAGCTCACCTTGCTGCGGCCTGTTCCAGGTCTGCACCTGTCGAGAATCCGACAATAGATTGGGCTGCCCCCTTGCTTGGAACTTGTCTGCCATAGCAGCAGCTATATACGCTAACTCCAGAGCCGATCTTCTTCTCCCTTTTTCTCTCAGTTTATTGCGCCCATCCCACCAAAGCCAAAGTAGCAGAATAACAGTCAGCTGCGTTTTTGCTTCCAGCTTGAGTATCATCTCCATCATTTCTCTAGCTGAGCCGGCTTCAGATAATCTACACCGAACAGCCTCCAAGTTCAGTTCCCTCCACACACCTTTCACCTCTTTGCGTCTTAGGAACAAATGACCTCCATCTTCATCTAATGTTTGACATAGGCTTCAACATGTGTCAATTTTCATCCCCCACCTCTTCAGTATGTTCTATACCGCCAAAGTATTGTGACTCAGGCGCCATAAGAAATGTTTGATTTTCGGAGGGCAATCTAACTTCCAAAGTTTCTGCCAGAAATCAGTCTTGCCATTGCTACCTTCTGTATCCCCCAGCCGCGCTCTCTGTGACTTTCTTGCTTCTGAAGCATGGTGCAGTTTGTAAGCCGAACGGACTGAAAATTTACCTTTTGGATCAAAATGCCGGCCCACCACATCATCCATCTCCGTGTGCACTGGCATGGAGCCAATCAGCTTGACATCTTCCTCCCAGAATGTTTGTGTTAGGAGTTGCGTGTCCCACTGTTCGGTCACCGGATCAAAGAGCTTTCCCACTTTCTGTAAGAGACTACCAGCACGCGGTATTATAGGCCGATGTGTCAGCCCCCTCGGCAACCATGGATCAAACCAAATGTCGACATTTTACCCATTTCCCACTCTCTAGATCACTCCCTCCTTCAAGACCTCTATCCCCTGCACTATGCTTCGCCAAGTATAGGAGCATCCATTCTTCGCCACTGCTTCTAGGATGTGTGCATTCGGGAAATACTTGGCTTTCAAGATCTTTGCACACAGCGACTCCGGGTCTTGGATCAACCTCCAACCCTGTTTGGCTAACATAGCCATGTTGAAAGAGTGAAGATCCCTGAACCCCAACCCACCATCTGCCTTTGAAGCAACCAATTTCTCCCAACTCACCCAATGCATACTATTCTCTTTGTCTTGGTTGTTCCACCAATATTTTGCTATCAGAGAACTTATTTGGTTACACATTTCCTTTGTTATATCAAAACACCCCATAACAAACACAGGAATTTCCTGTGCTACAGCCTTAATCATGATTTCTTTGCCAACCTTTGAGAGTAACTTCTCCTTCCAAACCTGAATGTGTTGCCAAATTCTCTCTTTAAGATATGCAAATACATTTGTCTTCGATTTGCCCACTGAAACCGGTAAGCCCAAATACTTTTCGCTTTTTGTCTCAGCTCTAATGTTCAGAATCTCCCGAACCCTTCTCCTCTGAAATTCCCCAGTGTTTGGGCTGAAGAGAACTACAGACTTGTCTGCATTAATCACTTGACCGGAGCACTCTTCATACACCCGCAGCAAATCTTTCAAGTTGGCCGCCTCCTCTTCGGCAGCAACCCAAGCTCTAAAAGAGAGCATGGTGTGATAACTCAGTAGGTTCAGTTAGAGGTGCTCAAACCAGTTTGACACAAACAGGTCCAAACCATCTTAGGCCTTGTTTGGATGTACTCTCCACACACATGGACTGAGGTAGATACGAGTGCATCCAAATAAGTCTTAAGGTGGAAAATACACTAATAATAATAATGACCATCCTAGTTCCATCTTTTAACGCATGAAAAATTAATAACTCAAGCAAAAACTAAGGATGTCGCTTTTCTAAACATCCCATGGCAACACATGGAAAAATATTAATCAACACTAGTTCAACTCTAGGTCAAAAAGAAATTTAAACTTGAAATCTAGGATACCCTTCCCTTGTGGTTTAGTTTTAGGTATTATATGTCCTTATAAGAACATCTCCAGCAAACTACCTAAACAGACCTACAATAGCAGACTACCTAAACAGACCCACTACTCTATATTTGAGCAGTGGATCAAAAAAAAACAACCTCCAACAAACTACCTACTTGGCCCCAGATTTGATGGCCACCTAAATCTCCTCCCCCACTATCCATTCCCACGGGTGAGTAGGGGGGCTCTATTTTCTGACTGCGATAGCTCAACCAGATGAGACATCTCTTATCTACAGAATTGTGCCAATGTGTGCCTACATTGTTTGATTTACCAGTTCTGAGTATTGGATTTTAGAATAGAAAGAATGAAACTAGTACCAGCCTATCGCCAACCGTGCTTTCTACCAACTCCGCCAACCCCGGGCGGGAATATTTATTTTGATCTATAGCCGCACTTGAGCCCACAATTGCTGCCTCTACTTCGCCTACTTCTTGTGCCGACTTCACTAGCCTCGCGGGTGTGGCAGAACCACCCAAATTATATAGCCCACATGTGCCTGTCATTGTCTCACAAACTTCTGACTTTTGCACACATAAGCCACATAATCCTGGTAGTCTGTTGGGTGTCCTCGGGAACCCTGAGTTGTCACGACCTGGTCCTAACACCCTTGTGAGCATCAGCATCATGAGCATCTTTCCATTTGAAATCAAATAGTTAGAAACTGAACCCTGCAACTCAAATAGCTCACTATTGAATTGACGGAGAATCCGCCAGCACCACCGGGTTATCCGCCAGTTCGTTAGCACATAGACAGTCAGTAAACTGACACCACCGGAGGATCCACCGTCACAACGGATTGTTTGATAGGATCGTCCCATGCAGGATTGTGAGGTGTCACTTTGTGAATCACCAGACCCCACACGCCAGCACAACTATCCATCTCGTAGACACACCAAGGCAGAGAGTTCACCGGCCCACTCACTCACTCTCACACACTCACTCTCTCTCTAGTTCATCCATTTCTCTCTACACTCTCTCCCACACTCAAGCAAGAAGGAGGAGAAGGAAAGGAGGAGAAAGGAGAAGGGATTGAAGCTTGGAAGCAGCAAGAGATGGCCGTGGAAATCACCTAGAGGTCATCGTCCACAAGAGGTAGGGGTTAGAAGAGCGAGGAACCCTCTCACCCTTGCCATAAGGAGCTAGGAGGAGAAGGAGGCAAGAAGAAGAAGGTTTTGAGTTACCAAGGAGGAGATCCAGCTGCTCCATCCTCTTGGAGAGCTTGGTACCTTGTGTTTGCAGCCCTTGCTAAGAATCTAACCAAGACAAACCTAGGATTGTGTCTTAAGGAGCCAAAACCTAGGAAATGTCGATTTGTAGCCTAGAGTTAGTTTGCACCCAATGTAGCTAGAACTAACCAGCTAGATATGTTCCATAGAACCCTAGTAATCTACCTTGAAGATGGTTTGC